GTTGCAGGTAACGCTATTTTTAGGCCGCGTTAAGTTCTTGTCGGCTTTACCAAGTTGCAGTCAAAACATGTTCTGCGCTCAGTTGGCGTAAAACTGGGCGTGTCCAGCTCTATTGAGCCGCGTTGTAGGAGACACGGTCGCCGCGCAAAGCTATTCAAGCCAAGTTGAGCACAACCGCTAACCCCCAATGATTTTTGATGTGAAAATAGAGGTTTTGTGAAAATCCTATTTTTCACAACAGAATCCGCCTAAGTTTCACAGCCCTGTCGGCCTGATGCTTTCATGTCTGCCACGTGTGTGCGTCCGCTGTGCTTCCAGAGTGAAGGAGTTCGGGATCAGCCCCTCAGATATTCCCTTTTCGCAGAGCGCTCGCTCGGACCTTTCTCCGACTTACGAGTATGACGTCACTTGCAGCCGTCTTGTGCTCATTGCTCAACATGGCTTCCTCTCGCTGTGTCCTGTGCCACCTCATGCCACCTCCTGTCCTGCTCCATCTCACTGCCGCCGCCACACGTGACTCGCTGCTTCCTACTCGTCTCATCTCGCTGCTTTCTGTCCCGTCTCAGTACTGCTTCCCATCTCATCAGCTCTCACTGCTCCCGGTTCCCGTCCTGTCCTGTCCCATCACACGGCTGCATGCTGTCCTGAGAGATCACACTGATCTCATCACTTCTAGCCTTCTGGTTCCTTCACGTCCTGCCCAATTGCATTCCACACCCGCTCTTCTTGTCTATTAATTAAATATCCATTCCTGCATGCGGTGCGGTCAGGGTGAAGGAGCTGTCGGTGGAGCCAGGGGCCATCACGGACCCTCTTGCGGGCGGACACGTCAACCAGCTCGACGTCCTGGAGGCCCAGTGGGGCGTGGGCAGCTCCCCGCAAAGAGATGACCTCAAGTTGCTCTGCGAACAGAACGTGAGCGTAGCGTCGCAGAAGGCGGGCTGGGGGCGGGGTTGTGCGGGGCTCCCCGTTTCACCGCAAGCGTGTTCATCTGCAGGAGGAGGAGGTCTCCCCACAGCTCTTCACCTTCCACGAGGCGGTGTCGCAGCTAGTGGAGATGGAGGAGCAGGTTCTTGAGGATCACAGGGCCGTCTTCCAGGTAAGGGCTCACATAACAGCTCGCTCCCGCTCTCTCTATATATACATATACACACACACACACACACACACACACACACACACACACACACACACATACACACACACACACACACAATAGTAAGACACTATGTTGCGATTCCAGGAGTCCATCCGCTGCCTGGAGGACGAGAAGGTGCTGCTGGAGATGACGGAGGAGGTGGACTATGACGTAGAGTCGTACGCCACCCAGCTGGAACAAATCCTGGAGCAGAAGATCGACATCCTCACCGAGCTGAGAGGTAAAAAGCAGTCTGAGAGACGCGTCTCCATCTTGACGACCTCTCAGGCTCTTCTTCTTCTTCTTTCAGATAAAGTCAAGTCCTTCCGCTGTGCACTGCAGGAAGAGGAACAAGCTAGCCAACAAATCACCCCCAAGAGGCCTCGTGCACTTTAGACACACACACACACACACACGCGCACACACACACACACACACACACACACACACACACACACACACACACACACACAAATCCAACAGGGAGGCAGCAGCTCGTCCCAAGTGTGTGTCGTCTCTGCTGTACACGCTTGATTATTGTCATCGTTATCCCTCCGCAGACCGTTCTTCATATTGCAGTCATCTACTCGTTGACACATTTTGGGATGTTTTTTGTTTCTCCTTCGCCAACGAAGTTTGGAACGTCAGCGACGATGTGACCTTTGAGGTTTACTAGTAATGGTTTTACACTGTATATGTGCTCAGAATATTCAAGCACTTTGGTTTGCTTTTACCGCCAGGAAATGCAAAACCGCTGGACACAATTTTATTTGGAGAGGGGAAAAAAATCCGCAATCAAGGCCTGAAATGACGGGGAGTTTTGAATTGTGAAAAATGTGACAAAATAAAGACGCAAAGCAAAATAATCTAAATGACATGAAATTTTAATTTGTGGGGGGGAAATTGATTTAGCAAAATAAAGGTTTTAACCTTGATAAAATGAATTTTAAAAAATCCAAATTAACCTTAAAAATGATGCAAAACTTTGCTTGGAAAGTAATTTTCCCCCCAAAAATTCTCAATCATCCTTTATTGCTGTCAGTTTGAAAAAAATCCTAACTAAAATGCTAAATCGTGTATTGGAATGCAAAAAATGTAATTGAAGAACATTGAAAATGTTAATTTCCCAAAGTAAAGCGCTGAACTTTACATTAAAGTCAAATGGCCTTCGTTATGAAAAACAAAATCTAAATTACACAAAAATGTATTTGAAAATCTCAACCTCAAACTTCTGTCAAGATTAGGTAAAATCTTGATGTGATTTTCCAAAGTAAAAGCCTTTATTATCCTTAAAAATTACAGAAGTATTTTATTTTGGGGGGGGGTTCCAATCAAGTAATTAATTATACATAAAAATGACATGAACATTTGATTTCAAAATAAGAGCTGTCATCATCGATATAAAAATAACAAAGGTTTGATTTGGAAAAAAAGAAAAGATTTTCAAAAAAAGGCCTACCTTCAAGATTCCAATGAAAATGTAGAACATGATTTCTGTAGTAGATCAAACATATCACGAACCCAAAAAGACAAAAAGCCGCTGTGTTGACATCGATACTGTCCTTCATCGATATGAGCTCAAAGCTTGCATTGCATCAAATGGCCTGATGGGGTCGCCGTAATCCAATTTTCACACGACGAATTTCATATCCTGTAGTAACAATACTGATAATAAAAAAAAAAAAAGCTTCTTCCTGTGGTTGAAGTTGCGATTTCATTATTCTGTACTTTTTAGGTGCCTCTTGTCTGATTGTGGCTAACTTACAGCATAGTAGCAATTGTTGAATCTGCGTTCTGGTGCCTTGAAGGCGCTTCGTTGTTTGTTTGGTTTGAATGATATATATACAACATACTTTAAAAACAACTATAACAAAATTAATTCTTAAATAAAATGCTAATGACTAGTTTTATTATTTTGAAAAACTACTTCACATAGGTCACACACACATTTTATTTTTCGACAAATGACCTGGCCCATCTGTAGGAGTTAAAAATCAAAATGTGGCCATCGAGCTCAAAGGTTTTCCCACCCCTGATTTATTCGCGTGTCTCCAACGACTTTGACAACGGGATGCTACATATTTCAAATATATATATATATATCCCCCCCACCCCCCACCACCTTAAATGCATGGACGGCGTCGTGGAATGGTAATTTTTCTCATCGGTTAACAAATCTGGAGCAGGTAAATCAGTCGTACATCATCATGCATCTTTGCAGTATGTACACCCCGTGACACATTCAAGTTCTTTTGCCCACCACGACGCCACCTTTCGTTTGCAGCATAAATAATTTCTTCCAAGTGGAGTAACACTGTACAATAGTGCCCCCTCCTTCTAAAATAATACATATGTACTGTCCACTATTTGGCACATTGACGGAATCATCTTCATCCCCTGAAATGATTGAAATTGATACATAAATAAGACATGCACTACAGAGTTAAAGTAATTTTTCTCGAGTGAGGTTACGCAGTTGATTAACTACAGTGTGAAAGTATCATTTGGCTTTTGCGCTGGAGTGTTAGCGATAGCGTCCTTTTTTTTCCCCTTGTAAGGCCTTTTAATAAAGTAGATTTCGTTACAAGCTAGCACCGGGTCCACCTGGAATACCAAGTTCCTCGTTGCAACCGAGCCGAGGCATAACATGGCCACGGGAGCGCAAACTCAATTTGACATACAAACCCGAGAAAACGGCATTCGTTCGCTTGCGGAAAAGAAGCCGCGTGGCTGGACGATGCTGCGAACCAAAACGGCAGAACCAAGCCAAATACGTAAACGCAGCGTGAAACCGTGCAAAGTTAGGAGTGCTGACTAAATCCAACATACAAAACTGAGAAATCCAGCCTTCTTGTGCCATTTACACGAGCTGTTGCTTCTATGCTTGTGCAAAAACAAAAAAAAGGTAAAAATAAGTATTGGTATAAGTTCCAAGCTGGGTGCCAAGACAGCCTGTCTGAATGCTTCTGCTCACTAAAACAGTCAGTTTGCCTTGACTTGATTCATCAACAAACGCAAAGGCAGTATTCTTAAACACACATAAATGCTTGCGTCCGTCATTCTTAATCACACCATCCACAGTCAGGGTTTTGTGGCATCCAATTCACACATATCTTGAACAATGCCCATCGCACTCCGAATCAAGCAAGGCAAACTGTGGAGTCTTTCAAAGTTTAAAAAAAAAATCTCACCTTTCGTGGAGACAATAGTGTTGCAGTGGGGATACTTGGAAAGCTAATGCCATCGTAGCACCACATATTTGTTCCACTCAGTCTGCCTGGATGCTGGATTCTTTCACCATCCTAATTTTTGTTGGCTTTGAACCCGACCACGCAACCGGTAAAGCTCCTTTATGGCAAAAACATTCAGTACGCTGCCCCCTGTTGGCGAGAAGTGTAAAAAAAAAAAAAAAGATCACGGTGCCAGCTTGTCACGAAAATCCACGTGGAGAGATTGGAAAATGACACTCGTTAAACATTCAAGCGGTAAATATCTTGGAAAAGGAGCAAAAAAGTAGAAACTCCCAGCAGCAGCGGTACCGTACATAGGAGGAACACAGTGCCACCAGCAGGTCGATGAGAGGTATTGCAAAGCTAAGCACTAAAGGGATTGGTGCGGTGAACGTGACCTGTTGAAAACGGCCTTGTTGGCCACATGGACGGAAACCGGAGGGCTCGTAGAAATCAACGAACATACGGCGTGTTACACTGGTGGCAGTGGTGTGTGTCATAGGACGGCGGCAACACGTCTGGAAAGCGGTTTGAGCATTTATTTCAGAGTCTCATGGGTTTTTTTTTGGGTGACCTCTCGTGCTCCTTTTGGGCTACTCGTACTAAGCGATGAAACCAATCCAATCGCGCAATTTTCAGCTCCTCGGCATTGGCTTTTTTTCACAATTTGTGAAAGTTTAAATGCCACAAAGGGACAAAATAGAGCAGAGGAACAATGGAGCTCCAATTGAATGTCAAAGAAATGAATAAATGCTCAAAGCGCTTTCCAAAAGAAACGAAGAGCGCGTTGCCGCGGCGACGTGCGTCAAACAAATGAACCTGAGCTGTTACGTTGAGTGGGAGGTCTGCCTTTGTGCAGTAGAAAATGTGTAGATTCGGTACGGATGTGTCGTGAATGAGGTTAGCTTAAGGCTCGTTACATCAATGGATTGAAAGCTCCCTTGTCGTCTCCTCTATAAAAGTGTTAGTGGAAAAGAGTCACGCTACACAGTCGCCTCGAGTCCGCTCCCTGTCGGGGATCACGGGGGCTCCATCCAGCTCATTTGGGGCCGCACGAGCCGGCGCTTCCCTCCTTGGCGCTTCCACTGCGTGCCCAGCATCCGGCCGCCACGCTCATGCTGCGCTGCGCCGCGCCCGCCGCCGCCGTCACGTTGCGCTCCGTCTCGCACTGGCTCTGCGTTCGCTCCGTCCGGCCCGGGGGCTTGGGCGAGCCGGACGGCGGCCCGCCGGGCTGCTTCGAGGAAATAGTGCGGAAGATGTGGTTGCGCTTGCGCAGGAAGTCTCCCGAGGCGGCGCCCAGGCCAAAGCTGCCTTTTCGCAGGACCATGCGGGCGCTGGCCGGCTTGGCGGGACGGGAACGCTGGTTGTACTCCAGCTGGGACAGGTGCGAGGCGTAGCCGTCTGGAATGAACTGCCACAGATGCGCATTGCGGTCACAAAGGATCAACCCTCTTCCCGCCAGTGTTTCCAGACCCCCCAAGGAAAGCGGGACCGAGGCGGTCCCAACTCCTTATTTGTTTGTGCCAAAGACAAGCGGATAAATGCTTTGCTTTTTTTCCGTCCTCGTCATACCTGACACTGGTGCTGCATCTTCTTTGTGGGTCTTCCCACAATGTAGATGTGCGACGGCGGTAGGCCGACGTTGGCGTACACCGAAATGTCCTTGCTGGAGCCGTAGGCGGCGAAGATCCGCATTTGGGCCTGAGCACATTAAGAGAAAGAGAGAGTGAGGGCTGAACCTCCCCGGGGATGCGATTTCGTGGCCCACCTCGCCGACGAGGCACTTGAGGAAGTTGGCCTTGTGGCGCAGCGGGTCGTGAACCAGGCCGTCGCAGAAAGAGACCACGCCGTGCGGGAAGTTGTGCTGCGACAGCCACGCCACCACGCGCTGCTTCTGCATGTCGGGACGCCCCGTCACGTACACGATCAGGTAGCCCAGGTCCTGCCAGTACCTGAGACACATGCGCGCACGTCGGCAACACACATATATTTCCCAAAAGGTTTATTTAGCTTTTGATTGCCTCGCGAAACAAACAAAAAAAAAAATCTCAATTATTCCAGCAGAATCTGTTGTTGAAGAGGATAAATCGAGTGGATGTCGTAAAAAGTCAAGCGAAAATCACAAGATGAAGGGATACAATGGGAAGCAAATCTCCCATCATCTGCTTTTTGGCCATGTCAGAATTTGGAAAGGGACACTTTTATATTGAATGGACAAGACCCTAGGATGGAGCCTAGTGGCACTCCCAAATGCATCGCAGTGTCAGTAGGATTCAACCAAAATGACCCTAAAAATAAGTAAATAAAGGGAAATAATGCTCAGCAAGGTGTGTCGTGAATTTCCCCTGGCGGGAGCATAATCGTCACGCAACTAAAATGAAGATGAAATGAAAAAGGACAACAGTTGTTTGTTACCTGACCACGTCCACGGCACCCGCTCGCACCTTGGGGTCACTGCCCATGATGGACACGCTGGCGGCGAAGGAGCCGTCGATGCTGAACACCACAAACTCGGTCCCGCGCGGCACCACGGTGAGGTAGCTGTCGGCAAACGTGTGGTCGCCCCTTGTGGCGGGAAAAATGTCAAGGCGGCGGCCTCGACGCGAGCCATTCCCCACGCGGCCCGCCGTTCCGCATACCTGACCACCATCTTGGCGGGATACACCCCGATGCCCAGCCGCTTGTTGTCGGGGAGCGCGTACGAGACACGGCCGCCGCCGTTGGTGAGCTGCGTGTCGAAGTAGACCCAGTCGCCCGACGGAGGCTGCGTCATGATGTGAATGTCGATCTGCGGCAACACAAAAGCGCGGCGCCATCCAGCTCACGTCGGCCGCTCGCTCGGGAATCTTTGCCTCGGACGCTGACCTTCTCTCCCGTAAGCGTCACCATGTCCAGCGGCCCGTACATGAAGCGACCGGTCAGCGTCTGGGCGCCGTCCTCGGTGAACACGGCGTCACTCGCGCGGTGGTTGGCCGTCACGTTCTGACGAGGGGGGCGGGACAAAAAAAAACGCCGATGGATAGGCTGTCCACAGGTCGGCAGTTTAAAGGTGTGAACACAACGTGGCTCTTTTGACCACCAGACAAAGAAAGCACTGACCCGAATTTTCACATGAGTGCGTTTGCGCAACCACTTCTCCCTGGGCTTGGACGGCGTGAACTCCGACACCTCCTTCCCATTCAACTCCAGAATTCCGGAGTTCTCGTGCCTCATCACCTGTGGAAGCAAATTTTGGAAGCGTCTTTTATGGAGGCAAAATGTTGTTCATCCGTTTGGAGTGAGGGGACGGAAAACGGGGCTTCTCAAATTTTGGACCCGCAACAGGAAGCGATCGCGCGTATTCCGAAATGGCACAGGAAACGAAAAGCGAAGCGAAGACTCGGCCGACCTGTCGGAGGAGGAAGGACACCACGTCCGTGGACTCCCAGTAGGAGGCGTGGAAGAGATGCGGCAGGGCCACGGTGGGGAACGCCGTCAAGGCGTCGGGGCAGTAGAGGGCGTAGTCCATCCGCTTGCTGCCCCACCAGCGGGACGCAACTGCACAATCGCAACGAGATGGCCTTGAAAACATGCCGGCGCACATTTGAGGCCGGTTCCATACGCGACTTTGTTCGCATCAGCGGATTGTGAGGAGGTCGCGGCGGCAAAGGGGCCTTTGGGGTCCTCCCTCGTAAGACCGAGAGAGGCCCGCTGGAGATAGAAAGCCAACTAGAGGTTGGAGCCGCGGGCGGTGGCAAAGTCCGGCACCAAAGGACGGCGGCGGGAAGCTGCCCTACGGAGGGAGACTAGCCTATGGAGGAAGCGGCCAGAAGGGCGGCGAGGAGGGAGCTCGTGTCCTCACACTCGACATCCCGGGGTACCTTGCTCCAAGTTCTTCGGCGCCCCGGGCGAGCCGAGGTCCGCCGGGTCAGCGGTGCCGTCCGAGCCGCCGTCCGACTCGGCGGCTCTCGTGGACGCCTGCCGGCTTTTCCTGCACGAGCGCAACGACGGCGTCCGGGAGGCGAGTTTACGGTAGGTAAGCTGGGACAGCAGACTGGGCCGTTTTCTCACCCGGCCGGCTGAGGGGACGTTTAGGCGTGACACAAGCGAAAGGGCGTGCGGCGGCGAGAGGCCCACTTACTGTTGGCGACGTTGGAGGCGGCGTAGGAGTCGGCCAGGCCCGACACCTGGCTCGCCAGGCTGGCCTCGCTCGCTCGGCGGTGGCAGCGGATGTGAGGGAGCCCGGGGGACGCGGACGGGGCCGGGCACGCGGGAGCGTTGCCGTCCGCTGCGGTGGAAACAAAGCAGGCTGAAGCGCCGGGGGCGGGCTTTTCCGACGCCAAGTGAGAAAAATCGCATCAAACAAAAATGGCGGGCACTCGCGGCTACTCACCGGAGGAGGGCCAGTTGAGGACGGGCACGGGGATGCAGGTCTCGTTCACGCCCGTCTCCTGACCGCGATGAAGCGCCGGCTCCATCAGGAGCTGAGGGTTGCTCTGCACCGTCTCCGCTGCGGGCGCAAAGCGGCCGTTCAAAAGGGAACTCGGGGGGCAACAAACGCGGTCAAATCGCGTGCCCACCCAGGAGAGCCGAGTGTCCGTCCCCCAGAGGAAATCGCTGATATCGGGGGACGCAGAAGGGGGGGAGCAGGTGGAAGCGTTTGTCCAGCAGAGGCTCCAGGCGGGAGGCCGACGGGTCTGCCGGGTGGAACAGGTTGTACACCTGCCGGCAGGCCGGACGCAGAGCCGTCACTGAGGGCGAAACAGAGGGAGGGGGGGGAGGGCGCGGGAGATTGCCGTCACGCGCGGGGCGCGGCCAGGACTTGCCCGTTGGCCCAGATAGCGCCGCCCGCCGCCTTGACCTGAGTTGAACGCGCGGCCGTGAAACGTGACCGCGTCCTCACCGTCCAACGAGGGCACCACCGTCTTCCGCAGGGCGAGCACCAGGCCCAGAGGAGATCCGAAGAGGAAGAAGTCCGTCACCTCAAAGTCGAACTTGCCCAGGGATCCTCCCTCCAGCATGGTGCTGCCGCTGGAGCGGCGAGAGCAGGACTCGGCGTGGATCACGCTGGAGTGCAGGCTGCTCCCAGAAACAACGGCACCGATCAACACCGAGGAAACGGGCGCCGGGCGCGGCCGCCTCCGCCTGACCTGGACAGGAAGGCCTGATGATGCTTGATGGTGTCGAGCTCGTAGGTGGAGGAGTCGCTGCGTTTGCGCGGCAGCTGCTTCTTGAGTTCGTCGGGCCCCGAGCATCGAGGGATGTCGATGTTACTCCGGCTCAGGTGTCGACTGGCCTCCAGGGACGGCGACGACGGCGAGGCGCTGTTGATGACGATGCCGGGGGAAAGCAGCTCCGTGTCCTGCGCCGGTCGGATGCGCGCCATTAGCGTCGGCGCGTCGCTACGTGTCACCGGCGGCGGCGGCGACGACGGACGTTACCTGCACGCTGATGGCGCTGCCCCGCCTGCTGCAGTTTGGACTTTCCAGCACCAGGACAGAACTACTGCACAGCGCATCGAAGCCGAGGATGCTTCCCACGCAGTCGCCGATCACACACACCTGCAAAAAGACGGGGGAGGGCGACACGCTCGCAGTTAAAAAAAAATAATCAAAAACAAAACAAAACACTTTTTTTCCGAAGAAATATGCAACTTTGCTTTCTCAGGAAAAACAAATCACTGAACAAAATGTTAAAAAAAAAAAAAAAAACACATGCAACAATAGGATGGTTACCATCCGATTGGTTTCAGAATTTGAACTTAAAGGTAAGTAAAAAGAGGTTTCCCAACCCCCCCCACTAAAAAAAATAAATAAATAAACAATTTTTTTTTCCTTCACATTTTTTCTTTTTTTTCACTTTTGGGCTTATTTGTCGTGCTTATTTTTTTGCCATTTTTAAAAAAATCATACTTAATCCATACTTAAAAAACACTTCACCATTTTGTTCTCTGCAAAAAATTCCAATGAAAAATATTGTGACTACTTTTGGTCTGGGAAAAAAAAAACACTCACATTTTTCACCTTGAAAAAAATCCTGACTCTTTTTTTTTTGTGACGTTAAGGAGCCACTTGATCACACACACACAGGCAGACAAGTGGAAGAGAGCTAGCGTGCCGAGCGGCGCGGACCTGTCCGTTGAAGGACGCTCCTTCCAGCGACCTGATGAAGTCGGCGTAGACCTGATTGGCTCTGAGGATGACGGCGGCCACGGCATCCTGGTACTGCGGCGCCGACGTGGCGAGGAGAGGCAGCGCGGCCAGCGGGATGTGATCCTGACTGCTGGACAGGCAGCCCTCGTCGTAGCTGTACGGGCTCAGGCTGCGGAGGGAGCACACGCCGCAAATTCAAATCCAACCCCGTCACAATTGCAACTTCGTGTCGTGCGGCGTTGGTCAGGAAGAAAAAAAAAACAAACAACGGGCGGAGGGGAAACACATGACTTTTCATTTCCTCCGCCGCCTCCAAGTTTGACGCGCAGAAAAAGAAAAACTCACTTGGACACCAGCGAGAAGGCTTCCACGCAGACGGCGGGACACGGCACGGTGCGGATGGCGACCCGGCCCAGCGCCGTCGGGTAGTGAACCCTCATCACCGTCTCAAAGGCGCCGCTCAGCGTGTTGACGTCACCTTGCTTGCTGTTCTGCTCGCCTGCGCGCCGACACGTCTCCGTTGAGGGCAAGCGCTAAAAGCTAACACTTTGTGGGGAACGTTGCCGTTACGGGCTGACAACGCCTGCAGCGGCGGGGAATTGAACGCAAACGGCGGGGCGACACCGACAAACAAGATGACGATAGGCTCAGGCGTCTGTGCTTTATCCTCTGCGAAGAACTGCTAATATTAAGATATGTGTGTCTTATACTGCCCCCCGGTGGCTGAGGCGCACACACACTAAAAGGAGCGGCGCGATGTCCATTGACTCATGATCCGATTGTCCTACCTGAGCCCGTGTCCAGAATATTTCCTCCGTGCAGGACGAGAATCAGGACGTGGATTTTGGACGGCTGAAGACACCGCTGAGGCGCCTGCGGGAGGAGGCGCCAACAAATATGGTCACATTACGGAGCGTTTCATGAGGTGAGAAGAGCGTAGAAAGCACCCACCTCGTGCGTCACGGCGTCAAATTGGCCCGCCGATTCGGGATATGGCGACTCTGTGACACAAAGGCTGCGCGTCACCGGCGATGGAGACCCGCCACGCCGCGGGTGAGGCCAAGGTGGCCGCCGCCTCACCTTGAACCTCGTCCACTTCCATGCTGTCCATTTTGTCCATCAGGTCGTTGGAGTTCCACTTGGTGATCTCCTTGGGGAAGGCCTCCTCGCCGTCAGAGAAGCTGTCTGAAGGACACGTCCACCGCAGTGGCCTAAGTCACTTTGTCCACGTTCATCTTTGGGTGCGTGTACGCGCTACAATTTGCTGTGTGCTACAAGCGTGTGACAGGTGTCAGTGTGTCACCGGAGGCTTTACCGTGCGCGTCAAAGAATTCGTCATCCGTGCTATCGTCGGATTCCCGCGCGATGCTCTGCATCCTCCACTCGCTCAGGCTGTGGTGAGAAGGACTCCCTGCGGGGAGACGCCAAACCGGCTCGGCGTTACGCGTCCGCACGACGCTGACGTCGACATGTTCAACTTATGCATTCAAGGGAGCAAAATGATGACATCACAGAGGACCGGACTTGTCGCGATGATGTCACATGCCGTCCCCCTGACTGATGGCCCAGACCGACAATTTGTTCTACGTCTTCGTCTGGAAAGCAGGCGGCGGGCGCACAACCTTTCGCAGCCATCCACAGCGTCATTTTGAATCCTTCGCAAATCTTTTGTCTGCTCCGGGGCAAGCGATTCTCACCGATATTATCTGTCAAGTAAGCCGTCGCTAATGTTATCTCGCTAGCCAAATGCCACCGTGACCTTACGAGTGTGAGGCCGACTTCTTATCTGCGTCTCCAGCGAGCTTGAGGAAATTTCCGCTCAACTGGGCCAAATCGCCAAATGAGCTTTGTCGTGGGCGCAACAAATTCAGGCCCAGCGAGCCTGCCGCCCAAACAGGAAGTCCACAACATATGCTAGCCGATCAAACTTTGTCTGCGTCGCTTCAACCTCGGCGCGAAGAAGAAGAGCGCCCAACTTGACACTTTCCCTTTGCATTTGCATTTTCACCATGCGCCAGAAAAACGTCCGCATGCGGTGAACCCGTCAGCCCTCGAAGCATTTTTTTCCAGAACGGCGCAGGACGGACAAACGTACCGCCTCTCTTGGATGACCTGTTGGAGGATCTGGACGACGTGGACCACTGCTTGGTGAGCTCGCCCCGGGTGTCCGGCACTCCGGCCGGTTTGTCTTCGCCGGCCTCGGCCTCGGCGGCGGCCCCCGGCTCCCGGTCCTGAGGGGCCGGGCGGCCGTTGGTCTCGGGGCCGCCCTCCTCGCCGAGGCTGTACTGGGCCATCTTCTTGGCCAGGGCCAGCTGCGTCTCCAGCTCCAGCTGCCGGATGTCCTCCATGGTGAGGCCGTACCACTCGTCCTGCCAGCACCACGCCTGGCGGTGGGCTCGCACCATCACTTTACGCAGACCTGCGAGGGCGCCGGCGACAACTCCAATTACCTTCGTCCCGTCTCCCTCGGCAAGGCTCCCGCGTGGGCCGCGGCGCTTTGGCAAATGAATTCGAGCGTTTTTGCGGGACGGGTCATTCGCGGCGCTCGTCGAAGGTCGAGAATTACGAGGAGCTCCGAGCCCAACTGCACTTAGGCCGACGGGACAGAAGGGGAGACTCGCAGAAGCTGAGTCGGCAGCATGAATTCACGAGCAAGCGAGTGCGGTTCGGTGCCAGAAATGGAGCAGCTGCCGCTTCATGAGCTGGCGGGTGATCTCCTCTTTGTGGAGCGGACCGCTTTGGTGTCAGAAGTGGGACGGCCGCACTTACCCACGTCGTGGATGAAGCGCTCGATCTTGGACTGCATGCCCCAGTAGCGGAACTCCACTTTGCACAGCTTGTAGGCGCACATGACCGAGCGGTCGCCCGGACTTCGGTTGATCTCCTGGATCCAGTCTTCGGAGAGCGGGCCTCGCCCGGTCTTGAGCGAGCGGTACAGTCGGGGGTCTTCTTCTGCCAGGTACTCGTGGGGAGCGATGTAGTCCTTGACGATGTCGATGGGGTCTGCGGGGGAACCGGCGGCCGTCGACTTTATGGGGGAGGTACAGCAGTGGGCGCAACTTACCCACTGTCCTTTGTCTCTTCTCAGCCAAAGACAGACCGAAGACGTCCGATTGGTCGCCGGTGTCGGGCATGTAGTACGTCTCGATGTCAATGGAGAACTTCTCCACGAAGGGACACGTGTACCTGCGGTATAACGAGAGCCGCCGGGTTCGGGCATTTTCAGCACGGCGTCATCGGAAACGTCAACGTCGCGGAAGCGGGCGAGGCCGAGGACGCGCCGCCTCACCTGGTGCGCGTGTAAGGGTAGGCGTTCCAGGACTCCTCCTCCACGCGCAGGGCGGCCTGAGGCAGGATGGAGCAAAACCAGGACGGGATGTGCTTGCCGATGTGGTACACCTTGCGGGTGTACTGGCCCGAGCCTCCGGGCCCGTCCCGGTACGGTTTGTTCTCCAGGATCTCCACGCCGCTGCCCTCGCCGCAGCTCTCCTCGCGGCTCTTTTTCTGACAGGCCGCATCACCGTCAGCACAGATACACAAATACGTCGAGATCAAGATAGGTTGGAAATTGTTGCCCCGCTGATCGTTTTCTTTGTGGCCAGTAGTTTATTTTGGACTTTTAGAAGACACATTTTTGGGGGGGGGGGGGTTGATGATGCCGTGGCGTCTGGGTACCAGCCAGAATGTACCCCAGCCGGCATCCTCAAGTTGTTGACGACACCGGACAGGAAGCAGAATGGTCTCCCCCTCCCCCGCCCGAAGGCGGGCAGCAGGTGGCGGCTGCGTTCCGATCCGCTAAAGCCTGAGCTTGTTTTTTTTTTTTTTAAAGCCAAGTCTGAGATGACAGCGGACTGGCCGGCCCGTTGTCATGGCAACCTGGACTCGGCTGATGAATGATGGTGCGCTGATGTCATCCGTGGGGCGTGGTGCTTATTTAATTCCGCACCGAGGCACTAATTACTCACGCATGGACTCCCGGAAACACGTTGCCTGCACTGAACTTCCATCAAAACATCGGAAGCTTCCACATGACGACGAGATGGTGCACGAGAGTCAACGCGAGGCACATTTGACGCAATGTCACGTATGCACGGCACCGCGCGTGGGGTGGACGCGACATCCAAGCCGATGGAAACAGTGGCGGACGGGACATGATATTAAGGCGCTGCATCGGGGGGTTGGACGCTTTGGAGCCTCGCTAGACAAAAGTACATTTTGCGTCGGTGGATTGCATCTTTCAAGGCCCACCCAACTTGGCAAATGAGGGAGCGGACGGACGCTCAAAAAACAGCTGCTTTCTCACGTTTTGAATGTTTTAGTAATCAACAATAGAACATGGCCTTTTGATTTTGTCCCGCGTGGACGTGCAAAGACATGACACCAACGCGTTCTTGGGCAAGCGGCGGACCGACCTGTATCATGTAGAGCTGAGCGATGCGGTACTCGTCCACGCTCATGGGCATGGGGATGCGGTACTCCTTGATCAGCATGGCGGCGGCACCCGGACCACGGTCAGCGCGTCAGGAAAAACGGGAGCCGAGTCATCGCAGGCGCCTGCGAAGAGGAAAGGGCGCTCAGTCCTCGCCGCCCGTACTTTGCGCGCGCGTCCTCCTGCCGATCTATTACAAGGTAATCCTCCGAGCCCAAATCCCCCGGCAACCTAAATCCTCAAGCGGCTCGGTCCCGCGCTCGGCCCCCGCCGACGTCCGGTCGAGAGCGACGACCTGAGCCGCGCTTCCCGGAGACACGGCGGAGCAAACCGCTCGACGCCGTCACGTCGCGCCGGCCGATCGACACGGTGGGGTGGGGGGGCGTGGGTTTACATATGAGCAAGCGTGATCACTTTGTGGGGGAACTCTCCGGACAAACACGCGTCCAAGTTCAAACGCACGACAATGACACGCGCACACAAGGCGGAAGGAAACATGGCAGGAAAAGGATGGATGAAATCAAGCGACTTTTGCGTGCACCCCGGTCGTGCGTTTTCAGTGCCATCAAATTAAATCCCAAAGTGCTTTTTGAAAATCCCAGGGGTCGCATTCATTGAAATGTCGCTCATGATTCCTCCTCAAGGCCTTTTTCTGTTTGACTTTTGGGACGAGCCCAAAGGGAAGGCGCCCTCCCTCAGGGGAGCCGCCACCTTTCTTTTCCCACGGATGGAGAGAAGTGTGGGAAATCCAAAGAGGGAGGCCGGCCTCCGCACAGAAGGCAAAATGAGCGGCTGGGGCCAAACAAGCGTGTCATAGTTTGCCGTTTTTTCCATTCCAGTTTGTTTCAATTGGTTTTCAGAGCGGGTTGCACGCTTCCATTGGCAGTGCATGGGCGCAACGGTGTTCACACCCACAACGGTGCAAAACGCCCTTTTTGAAATGCGCTTGCTTGCGCGGTTCTGCAAATCGACCAACAGCCAGTCTAACCGGCCCCCCCCATGCAGATTTGCCACGGTCACGAATATCGAGCCGGTAATGTTCCAAGGAAAAGTCAGTCGCAACTGCATGAGGGGAAAAAACAATTCAGACTCAAGTCACAGTGTCATGAATTCATGAATTGACGCGCGCGTGCGCACACACACGCACAAATCCACATCAACCTGCGCAAACTCACCCATAATGCGCACCAACAACAAAGCGTTGCGCATTCGCGTACCTGAGCACGAGTCTGCCGCGGCAATCCCGAGACGGCGGGCCTGCAAACTTGCCGGCCTCGATGGCGGGCGCAACCCGCCCCGCTCTTCCTCCTTCTTCTCTTCCTCCTCGTCCTTTTTCCCGCTAGCGTAATACAGAGAAGCTGGCGTGTCTCTTCCTCGGCCTCCCCGCCCCGCCCCTCCCTCACTAAAGCTCTGTTGCCGTGGAAACGCACGAGGCCTTAGCCTGATTTGTGGACTTTGTTGTGATGCGGTGAGCCGGGGCCGCGGCCGCCTCCTCCTATCCTGTGTCAATAATCTGATATTGGCTACTGAATCGAGTCAATGTGGAGCTCAAAAGGTTTTCAAAGGCGCTGCGACTCCGTGTCCCCTATCGTTTCTATCGATCGCCACCTACTTTAGGATGCTTGTTATTGAAGCTAGATAATACACTGTCCGCAGCTTGAAAATAGGAATTTTTCTCTCTTTTCCTCCATGGCCTTCCTGTTTGGGGTACGGCGCGGACGCTCAGAACGCGCACACATGACGGGAACGTGAAGTTGACGACTCCCACAAAGCCCGACTCTTTGCAAATATCTCCTACGTGGTGGGCACGCGTCTTGCCGGCGCATTTTGTCATGCTTGAAGCCATAGCACAACAAAGTCCTTAAAATAAAGCGGGACAATTTAACGTTCATTTTAGGACGCTAAAGTTGCAATGAAGTGCTTTTTTTTTTTTGGCTATTAATTCGTCACGTGAGAATAAAGTGCCAGTTTGCTGTCGCAAGCCACATCATGAAGATGTTGGCATGACACAACAGGAAGGTGTCACACGCGCACAACATCAATGCAACAGCAGGAGAGCGCTGTGCATGACAATGAGCTTGATGCGCGCACGTGCACGTGTGTGTGTGTGTGTGTGTGTGTGTGTGTGTGTGTGTGTGTGTGTGTGTGTGTGTGTGTGTGTGAGACCCCTTCCTGTTGCATGATGCCAACGTCTTGATGTTACTCGTGACATCCAATCGGCACTCGGCGCGCATCTCAAGCTTGTCGCACGGGCGCCACGAGCACGGCCAGAGCCACACGCTAACACGCTAACACAATCAAGCTGTCCACACGTCAACACGCGGCCCTGCGGAGTCTTCATTTGTTCATGGTGGCACGCGCACGCACGCGCTCCTTCTCAAAGACGGATGCCCTCCAAAGCAAATATCCACAATTTCTTTTTTCTTTACTTTGGAAGTGGGGAGCAGGAGAGTTCTGTGTGTCAGCGACACTTTTATTCTAATTTTTTTGTGTCCCTCTCCGGTAATTGGAAAATGGCGCCGATGTTGCAAGCCTAACTCGAAATGTCCCGGCCCGCGCGTCATATCTCATCTGCGTCCGTCTCCTGAGAAGTCGACGTGCAGTCGTGTCGCGCGACACGGCCCCAACCTTTTGTAGGTGACAATGGGCCGAGCCGCAAGCCTGTCCTCGCAACAACCAGACAGCGCCGACCTGAGCGGGGCGGCCGTCCCGCCCCCAGAGGTCCAAACGTTCTCGCCGACATTTGACAAGAGAAGGGATGCCAACGCGCCGAAAGGCCAACGACAACTCCCTTAGGTGACGACAGAGGGCTATTTTTAGCTCGGGGGTGGGGGTGATTTGCCATCATCTCCAAGTTTGAGAATTCAAATGCCACTGAAAAAATAAATAATAACAATCATCTAGAAATACTGCCAAATGATTTTTTTTTTTAAAGAGGAACAAAATCCCATCATAAAATGGTAAAATTGCGGCGACAAAACATATCAGATAACAGTGAAACATGGTAAGATGGGGTCCCCCTCGACCCCCATCATCATCATTACTGTACTGCTATTGACATGCATGCGCCGCTCGCACCCAGGAGAAAAGGGACGTGTGCACTTGTGTGTGTCTGTGTTTTTCTATGTGGGGGAGTGGATGTGTGTGGGCGCTTTTGCGTATGTGTAAGATGGGGGATAAAAACAAAATAAGAATAATAAAGGTCACGTGTGTGTGTGTGTGTGTGTGTGTATTTGCAGTGTTCATTGACATGCTGTGTTTACCCAACTAAAAATAGCGTCCA